TAATCTCTGAAAATCATCCTATATAATTATGAGAACATACATAAGGGAAAAGTTGCGCTATATTCAAATAAGATTCCTTCAAAATTTCAAAACGCCATATTATCAGGCAACCAAAATAAAAACAAAATAGTTCCTAAAACTTATCGAATTAGTCTAGAGCTCATTTTTCAAAGTCTCTTGTACTTCGAGTCCGACCTTTCTATCCTGGGGCCCGGGCAAATGCATAATATATGTTGGGTAACATGTCTTATTCAACATTGGCGCTCCGCCCTAAGGCGTGACATGTAATTCGCTTATGTTGGTGCGAGTGTGTGTGTGTGTGTGCCCTTCACCGGTGGTGGGCCCTTTTCGATGACTGCATCAGGATCAGCCATAAGGTCGGCAACGAATTATATACACAGTGATTTGATGGCGTTGGGTAAAATTGACTATATATATTTACAAAGTTTTTTCTCTCATTATAAATTTAACCATAAAAGTTAAATATTGAAGATATTTTTGCCTTAAGGCTGCATTAAACAAAGAGATTATTTTTAACAACATCCTCTCTTCTACTACTAGAAGTATATTACGTCCTATCCGTTCGCAATGGAGGTAGTAAAAAGTTTTTGAGTCATAAAGCACGACGGTGGAGTTATTAGTCCGCGACAGCGCGCATAAAACCCTTGCTGGAAAACTGTGATTTAAATGTGACATTTTCAGTAAGCTTTCGACCTTTTTAGTTAGACATTACGGTTTTGAGGGGAGATCGTAAAAGCATATTTTTGATTTACCGTCCAAGAATGAACAATGAGGGCCGCGGCGTTAATTTATGTCACGAGAGGTGATAACTGCCACGAAATGGCGGATTAATTAGAGTATAAAAGTTCAAATGACGTGGAAATTTATTTCATAGTGTTTTCTTTTAACAGTACAAAGTTATTGTATATGACGGAGTCAAAATTGGATGTAGAAATGGGATTTGAAGGAAAACTTGCATACGGGTTTCGAGCTTGTTAACTCTCATCAGTGCAACATAAGTCAAAGCATACCAAACCAGAGAAAATGGTGGGTCAATTTGATTGGATTGAATTGAATCATACCCTGATGGGTCGTTTCTTTGTTTAGCTTTGAAAGACTTCGAAGAGAGGAAGCCACACGCTATAATAGGTTTATTTCTATCTTGATGTCGTTATAGTCTCCTTCATGCCTGTTTCTGCGATTTGCTTTCGCTTATGTTGTACTGATGAGAGCTCATAAACTGGTATGCAACAAGCGAGCATCCAATGACTCAGATTTCGGTTTCTCTTGATTATCTTACGAGGCAGAACACAGAATCAATACAATCTCATTGTGCAAAATATGTAAAATTCCCCAAAAAAAAATAGATAAAATCATACTCCAGCTTGTACATAATTCAGCTTTCTTATTATCACAGCGATATTTTATTTTCAAATTCGCATATATATATAGACAGAAGCAGCGCGAACGAACTTTCGGCTACACACGACTACACCAACCCTCTTTCAGCAGCATATTACCATATTTAAATATTTAAATGTAGAAAATATAGCGTAGGGGGCGCCCCAATCGCATTATACATGATAGTGCCGCGGCCGAAAAACCCCTACACCGACGTCAACGAGGGATGCCGTTTTTCCCTCGCGTCTTTTAAGGGGGATGATGATGTACACGTTACGTGAAACTCGCGATCCGCGGTCTTTGGGGATCCCAAAACCGATCTTTAATCTCGAGATGCATCACCAAGGGATGTCAGAGAGGAATATTGGATGGAAAATGTTCGCAACTGGAATTATCTTGTGTGGCAACATATTTTGCTAATCTAATCTAACCTAGCTGGAAAGTGGTATATACGTTTCAAGACACATTTTCACCCGGAAAAAAAGGAAGATTGTGATTATGCTGCTTGTTCCTAGAAGCTGTTCCTGGCACTTACTTATAGATTTCTTGAGTCAAGAGGGGAGGAGATAAGCCAGGACTTCTCGGTATACTAGATAAATCCTCCATAGAAAGCACACACACACACAATGCTCGGAGCAAAAGTCCTGTTGATAAACTTCAAGGAACTAGATTGTAGATTGTGCGGGGAGTCGTTTCGGCTCAGCACTGCTACATTGCAGATATTTTGTACGTGACTCTACATCTTAAATTGTCTTCTTCTGCCAAAGGACGCTATTTTTCTGGGTGTCAGTTGACCCACTTGTTCTGGTGAGAGTGTTGCCCCCTCGAGGAATTTAGCCTCTTGCAGAATTGGGCTGGACATTCGTAGAGCACGTGCTCTCTATTGCATCTGAGCAGAATCTGCAGAGATCCTCTTCTGCTCTGCCCAATAACCTTAAGTGGTATTTCATGTCCTGTGAGCAGTCCTACGACCTAATAAGCCTCTTTGACTGTCTTAGTCCCGGAGTGTGCCTCCAATATGATGACAGTTGGTCTTTCTTCCATTTGCTGAGTTCTTCCATGATGTGGATTTTCATTAAGCCACAGTATGGCTCTGGGTCCATGGTATGGTGTTGAGGCCCCTTCTTTTGCGAGGCCATCTGCTTCTTCGTTTCCTTCTATGCCTCGATGATCAGGCAGCCACATCAGAGTTACCTGGTTGTATGTCGCTAGTGTTTTTAGGGCCTGTTTACGCTCCCAGACTAGTTTTGACCTGCATTTGAAAGGCCTTATGGCTTCTAAGGCAGCTTGGCTGTCCGATAGTACAAAAATGTGTTTTCTTTTCAGACACTCTTGTGCACATATGATTTGGCTTGAAATATTGTAAGATGTTTGCCCAATGCCTTGGAGAGCTTGAAGTTAGAGCCGGAAATGTCCAGTCCAGCTTTTTCCATTTGTTTAGATCCATCTGTGTGCCACAGAGATGCATTGTCTGCTTGTGGTAATTCGTTATTCTTCCATGATTGGCGCCCGTTTATTACCACTGCGAATGGAAACTCTAAATCCTGACTATCATGTGGTCGGTTCGTTTTAGCCACTAGTTTGCGGCATGACCAGATGGCTGATATAGAACATGTTTTCTCTATACTGGGTTTGTTCCAGGACCTGGACCTGTATTTCATTTTGTTGTAGAATGTTAGTGGTATACCGTTAAGGGGCCTTCCAAACTTAACTTCCTTCTTCTTGTGAACGGGACAGGAATTGTTTTGTTTGGGTTTAAAGATTATCCCTCGCCTTCGCTCAAATTTTTATCGATGTTTGGAGCACTTTGCATTCGGCTCGTTATTACGCCTTCATGTTTGTCAAGGAACTAAAATGATACCGAGTTGTATTCCATATTCGGGCAGCTAGAACTGTCCAGAGCATGTGCCACTTGAATTGTTCAGAAAATTGAAACTCGGTGTTCAAGTTGAATTTAGAACTGTTAAGTATTTTGTATCCTTTAGTTTGTACTTTGTTGCTTTTCATTGTTTATATAATTCAAAACACGATTATAACTTTTTAATCAGGTTTTTATTTTATCTCATTTTACAAGTGTCATCTTGGTATCTGGTTGACATTCATTTGCCCGCCAGTGTTACCAACTTACAATGCCAATATAAAAATAAAAAAAAGTAACTTAAACTTAGATTCTAATTTGAACTCAAGTTATAGAACAAAATTAGTCCATGATCTCGAGTAGGAATTGTTGCCGGACTATTTGCGCCTCATGCGCGATAATGTATTCAGCAGGTTTGTGGTTTTTGTTTATGTTTAGTTTGTAGTTTATTCCATACAGGTTTGACAAGTCAACATCTTGCAAACCAATTCCGATGCAATAGAATGCAATAGAAGAAGTCTGAATAGGGAACGGAAACGGGTTCTACCTCAAGCATGGAGCGCTGGGAATGCTGGAGGAGGAACAGGAGAAATCGTTTTCGCGCGTTTCTCTATTTAACCTAAGACTTTTTCTAGACATTTCATTCTATTGCATTAAAATTGGTCCGTAAGATGTTCACATGTGCCAGACCGGTATGTCCATTCACACAGCATTCAGAGATATAGTCAGGATTCTGCGCAAAAGAAAATCACCTCAGTTACGCATACACGCAGGACTTTTGTGACTATTTTTGGTCGCACAAGATATCCGACAGTTTGCTGACTCTCAAAATGATCAGCGGTTGAATTTTTTCTGTGTTATTCTGATTTTGTATGTACCTACATCATTCAACAGCTTATGTAAATCGCATAGTAGCAGCAGTCTTCTTTTCAGGTTCCAAAATTTTCGGATCTTTTCATTGCTTTTGACCCTGAGTGATTTTCTTCAGCCTTAACTCAGATAACTTTGAAATTTATCAGTTTTCCCGTCTCGTTAAAAAAATACAAATTAACAATTTCATTATTGAAAGTTTTATGTTCCAGACTAACAGATTACGAAAAATGCATTTGCATAGTTATAGGTAGCTTCGCAGTATAATACAGTATTACCTATTTTGAATGCGCGCTCCCGCATTATCACGCTATATCTCGAAAATGTTTGGTCGTACGAAAAAAATGCATATGAACAATTTTGTAGAGAATACTATTTTACGTAAGTTTTGTTTTAGGTTCTTCGACGTCAGATGCACTGAAAGCGAGATTTTCGCCAACAACCTATTTTCATGAAATTTGATCTTCGATATCTCAAGACGCACAAGGGATTTTTTGTGCTTGATAGAACATCAAAACGAAGGTCTCTGCAAAAATTCAGCTTGATCGGCTTCATTCCGCAGATAGCCTTTTTTTTGTCTTGTTTTCCTGGGGTATATTTGCTATTACCGTTTAATAAAATCTAGTATGACATGTTCTGAACGAAAGAGAATGCTGAGGATAATCTTGTTTTGATTCTGCTTCCTTATAAAAAAGGTTATTGCGTCAAGTAACAAAATGTTTGGCTTATTGTGGAGATAGCTTTAATGACCAATACCTACAAGAAACTTTAAAGCCTCATTGGCGCTACTCTCAAAGGGGGTTGAAAACCCAAAAATGCAGTACAAATTCTTTAAAAAAAAAAAACATATATAAGAGTTTTGATTACTTACAAATCCATGTTTGTCCGAGATGTTATTCGTTAGTTTTAGTTTATGGAAGCTGACCACTTTTTGCATCCACTGTTCGCCAGTTGACGGTGAATCCGGATGGATGTACATTCTTTTGGGCATTTCTGGGTCGGCTTTACCAGCTACCATCCATCGACTAGAACGCATTATATAGGTTACAAAATTGTACAGACAATAACATTAAAGGCATGCATTTTAAACTAAAACCATAAGAAATAATGTACAATAGAAGGTTGAATTGGTAATGGCGAATGTGGGTGTAGATACAAAATTAGTTTATGTAAAGCCTTTTCTATACTGAATTCAACTGATAACAGAGCAACTTTGAAGTTTCCTATATTTTTACCGTATTCTTTAAACAAAAATGTATAGGATCCTCTGTTTAAGCATGACTAGTTTTGAGAAATATTAGAAAATTCACTATGATTTGTGAGCAGATTTTTCTAGATTGCTCAATGAAAAATTAATAATTTTTTTCGTATTTTAGCAGATTCTTCATCACAAGTTTACCCAGTATTGATTTGCGAAGAGAAATATTAAATTTTCTAACTTATTTTTGTAAGTAAAGTTTTGTATAGGTGATATGTATTATTCGATGAAATGAATTCTGTTTATTATGAAGCTTTTTTTTTAAATAAGTTTAGGTGATAACGTAGATATCTTGACTTTTGATTTACAGAAAAATTAATTAAATGGCTTCATGTTTTTCAACAAAACCTTCATAAACCTTTCTACATCCCCTACGCCTTCTCATATACTCAGATATATAATACGTACAATTATTAAAAAAATCTCAACAAAACTACAAAACGCATGCTTCGTGCTTTTCAGAACCCTTTCGGCTGTTTCCTTTGAAAATTTTTCCACACATTACGATTTCTTTTTCGATTGTCACTTTCGGGCAGCTATTTTCAAACGAAAACACCCGAAGGTACTATTTCGCTCTCTAATTACTCATTGTTGTTTTAAGACTTTAGAAAGCGAAACTGGACTGAACACCAAAAAAAAAATGTATAACATAAAACGTAAATAAATTATTTAATTATTCTAACCTGTTGTGAAACTTATATCGACAGTCATCGGCTGCAACGATGTCCATCAGAAGTATATATTTGGACTTTTTGTCTAAACCCGACACGCGGACTTTATAAGCAGGAAACATGCGCCTGTAACAATGTCGAGAAAAAAATTTGGATTAATTTTTGTGGAACAAACTGATAATCACCTGTTGTGAAATTTGTAGCGATAATCGTCAGCGGCTACAATGTCCAGCAATAAGATGTATTTGGCCTTTAAGTCCAAACCGGACACGCGAAATTTCATTTGGGGAAACATTTGTCTGGAAAAAATAAATGATATCCTCAATAGACAAATTGTTTAAAAAAAAAATTACTGGACGATAAACCTGAAAGAAAACTTATTATTTATGCTTACAATTTAAAAAAATGTAATATAAGACCATTGAAATTTTGCTCTCAAATCTCTTACGTCATAAAGCTAAAAATCGCGCCAACCTATACAAATAGACAGGGTGAACGATGGCGGCCGATCACCCCCTCAAAAATTTTTAGGGCAGCTGTCTATGTAGGCAATCTATCATACTGGAACCGGGGCCTTTTTCATACAAATGTAGGGTGAAAGATTATATTTTTAAGGGTAGTTCCGTAGATTTCAGCCCCCAGCAGCAGGGAAGGGGGTTGTTATATTGTGCGTTTAGTTGTTTTATTTGTGTCCGGAAGTGGTTTTTCTAGTTTTCGAAATAAGATATCTGGGTGTTTGTTCGTTTTGTTTTGTTGATATATCGATTTGGGTCGAGATTTACAGGATTTTCGTAAAATATACTGTCAAATCTCATTTGGATAGAAGTTCGAGGTTGATAATGGTAAACTTTTGAACTTCACTGGTTGGATAATGTAGGTAACTCTAAGTATACCTATACAGTTTCGCAAGAGTTTGCCTTCGTCTATTGTTGTTCGATAATTTTTCAACTGCGCTTACGTTGAACGTCATATTCCTTTTGGCTGGCGGTCACCATCTTTTCTTTTCATTGACAGTATCAGCATCGGCGCTTTAGCAAAAGTGTCGACTGTCGGACAAAGATCGTTACCTATTACCATTACTACATTATGTTTTTTTCCCCAAACGCACAGCATTCACCAGCGATACCTATACTTAATGAAGTACTTATATGAGGTCAAAATACACTTTAACTCAAGTTCTTTCAACTTCATGTATCGTGCTTGAAAAACTTTCAAAACACAAAAGCCGTAACCTTGTCAGTACTTCGAATAAACACCAACTTCATACCTACTCTTTGTGTTGAACTCTTAGAACTCAAATCACCTCGAATTAAATTTAGGTTCCAACCGCGTGTGAGGTAGATAACTTTCATGCAAGAATTTTAACCAGACCCATCGCCCCGAGCCTCTAACCGGCACTCCGAATTAAATTGTCACATTAAAAATGAGGGACCCCGTCTTAAAACAAACTCATAACTCCTCGCCCAAGCCCTATAACCTGTAATTTGCTTTTAGGTACCTTCATCGAATTGGGTCCGATGAGAAATTTACAGGGTGGACTTCACAACAAATTTTAAAATTCAACTTTTTTTTACTGCAATGAAATCATTTTCACCTAAAAGTTATATAGTTGGTCCACTCTGTATCTGATTCGAAAATTACTGTATTTACAGAAGAGATGAGAAATTATAGGTTATGCCGAGAAGGTGAGAAAAACGCTGTTTGTAACCGCTTATTATCGGTACAGTCAGTGAGATGGCGCCTCGAGGTAGGTGAGCTCGTTTTCGATTTTGGGATACAGTCTGTATTAAAAAAAAAGGAAATATCATTTCCAGTGAATCTCAACCAATTAATCTTATGTGTAATCTGACAAATATTATATTTCAGGACAATAACTACTGATTTATATTATCAAATTATCCCATAAATCTCCCCGAAATCTTATCGCTTGGGGTTTTATCAATGCTTCCCTCGTTAAATCATAATTTTATGTGTAATGATTTCCTGATAAGTGGTCGACATCCTGAGAAAATTTGTCAACGGGGTTTAAGCCTGTCTAATAAATTCGATAAACAATAATTGGGGATAAAAGTAATTATTGTTAAAGACAGGCAATAAAATCTGTAATATCATATGTAAGATAGATAAGACGACTTAATCTATGTTGAGAATTAACATTTGACCTACGATCTCTGTTGGATATGTTTCATTAATTTGATGTCTGGGTTACTTAATGGGAAATTATGTTTTTTTTTTTCAATGTTTATCGATTACTAAGAAATAAAGGCAAATGTTTTTGTACACAGATTTTGTGATAGGATGACGTCGAAAATGGAAAAGTTTATATTAGTAAATAGAAGATATTAAAATATGTAGAACTCCAAGCATAACTTCAGATGATATACAGTGTCCCCCATAATGTCCATATCTAAATTTTCGAATTTGCCGCCACAACAGTGATCACGTGACCAATGTCAAAATGTACTTTTAGGTTATCGGACATGCAGAATCGATCGCAGATAAGAAAAATTTCCACATCTTACAAATGAAAAAAATTCCCAAATGTAGCGAACATTATGGGGGACACTACATTATATACTGGGACACTGTCTAAAGTGAAACGAATTTTGCAGACAGACATTTAATGCTGTTTATTTTAAACCATATATGTAATTTTCACATTTCTTACTAGTTTGAAGGTTCGAAAATGTCACTTTACTTTTGTTTACTTACGAAAGTGACAGTTCTCCTGTCACTTTCGGCCAGGAAAACCCACTTTCGGCCTGCTAAATTCTTCTTTCACACCTAAACACAAATCCAGAGCCGCTTTCGGGTGCTCCTAGAACACTTCACACCTGTCAGTGACCATACTCCATGCGCTTTGCACTCAAACGCTTAAAACCGAACGGGCTAAACTATAGCCGGAGTACTTCGGAGTTACTCAGGAGTTACTCAAAGGGTGGCTCACGAAAGCAGCTCAGGTGCAATCAATGAACTAAACAAACACACTGGAACGGTGGCTGCATAATATGTTCCTACGCAAGGGTTTGTGCCAGGAAGGACAACAAACAAGTGGGATTTGCATCTCTCTCTGCACTATGGCGGCTATTGAGAACAACTGTTTGAATCATTGAGGTTAGGACTTCATCTTCTTTCTTTTACATTAATCGCAATGAGTGCGAGCTAGACCACAATCCCTTTGTATTGCTGGGTTGCATATATCAGAATTCGGCACACTAGCATAAAGCAGTGCGCCCATTCCAGAGTGTTTGTTTAGTTCAATGGGTGCAATGATTGTATTTAGAAGTAGATGTCACTGACACATATTTCGGTAAAAATTTCTCACATATATTGTCTCGAGAATTGGTTGACCTCGGCGCTTCGCACCTCGGTCAACCATAGTATCTCTCGACAATAATAAAACACTTTCCACCTCCGCATGTAAGATTCTATTTCAACTGATTTGGATTCGTTATCCATAAGGAACATCTGCTTAAACCCAATCCAGGTCCATACAATGACAGTAAGAAGAGCTATCAACAGCCAAAAATGGAGGTAGCATGCAGGTAGAACAACAAAAACTATAACAAGAGTGATTGTAATGCCAAATTAGCCACAAAATAGAGAATACATGCAAAATCGACAACAAGGGAATCGAATCTAAAAATGAGAGAAGTTCAATGAATACCTAAAACAACAATATCTGTATGCTGTTGACAGTTTCTTCAATACTCTGTTTCCTTTATGTTAGGAGCATTATACTCCGATGTATGATAGTCTCAACATCTGCCAAAAGGACAAGGATCAGTGTTTCAACAATCTATAACCCTCTTAGCGAAAGAAAAATTGATAACTGTGTGAAGTTGGCTAAAAAATCGCTTGGAAGAGAACCGTTAGAAGTGAACTAGCAAGAAGTACCTATAATATACGGAGGAAAGTACATTCGTTGTATTAAAATAAGGAGATCCCAACAATAAACATTGAGAAGGCCGAACGAAATAAATTCTGGGAAACATTACACGAGTCAATAATTCTAATTGACAAAGAAGAAATAATCTGTTGGAGAACACAAGTTCTGAGCTCATAACGAAAAGGAAACAGAGCATAGAAAATACATAAGTTACAAAAAATGAATCTGGATATGCAAACAAACGAAACATTTTTTGAAATGAATCTTCTCAAGCGGCGCGGCGGCGGTCTGATATTTGGAGAGTGATTTGAAAAACGCGTCACGAACAAATTTCGTTACTCGAGAGAGAAGAGTGATACAATGTAAGAAAACGGAGGAAGACAGATATATTGATTTACACAAACCAAGGAATTTGAGCGCAAAGAGGATTGCCTATTATTGACAAGCGCCAGTACCCTTGTAACGTCACTACAGATGCGCGTCTGCCTTTTGATTATCATTGTGTTTTGTGATTATTTCCGTTATTTATACATTTGTGTGCTGTAATTTTCTTTGATTATATTCATGAACCGTCATTATGTAATAGTTATTTATGGTACTAGGGTATTATGCTGAAAATAAGTCACGCGAGAAAAAATTATACCACGAGGCCGTCAGGCCGAGTGGTATAATTTCTCGAATAACTTAGGAAACATAACACACGAGTAGCATACAATGTTTTATCCAACAACTGAGAAATCATAACACACAAGCAGCATAAAAGAACTGAAAAGACCTTACAGTTTGAGGAAAACCACCTATTTAAAATATTATTTCTTCAAATCTCAACTTTAAAAAAAAACATTTACTGAATAAAAGTAAATGTTGCAACCATGTATGCGCCCTCAAATTTAGGATTGAACGAGCGCGCCACAGAAAACGAAGGTACCGAAACCGAAGAGGATACAAGAGAATACGCAACAAGACTTTACTAGACTGGAGAACAAGCTGGGGCAGTTCCTTTAGACGCGTGTTTGTCATTATTCATTATTCAATTTTCATTTCTATTTTGCATTAAAATTGATTGTTCAATCCAATTTGTTATTAGTGTATGTGTAAGGAGCGTTTACAGGTTAGTGGATTAAGGGCTGGTATTTCAATATTACCTTAAAATTAAGACTTAACTAAGGTAGGTACCCTTAATGTTAAGGTGAACTTGAAATCAATACATTCAGGTGGCTTAAGATCCACCTTGATTTAAGGGAACTTTGATATACGGTGAAACTTTTATTAAGGATGACTTAACGTTATTCTGTACCTTAAGGGAACATTGAAATACCGGCCCTTAATGTTATTTTGTTTTTGAGAGTTCAATTTATGCAAGTTCCTATTATTTTGTTAATTTTTATGTATTTTTTGTTTGTTTATAAC